CCTGGAGGCGTGATGGTTCAGAGGTTGAAGACGCTGCGCTTGTTAGCTGGAAAGCTGAACAGGTGGGGTTCAAAACCCGAGTGCTGCGTAACAGGGTGAGCTCCCGTCACTTGCCTCAGCTCCCGCCCAGCTAGCAGTTCGAAAGCAGGCAAACGCGAGTAGATAAATAGATACAACTTTGGTGGGAAGGTAACAGCGTTCTGTGCACCTTTGGCGCAATTAGCCATGCTGGCTGCATGACCACAGAAAATGTCTTTGGACAGTGTTGGCTCCCTCAGCCAAGAAACGGGGATGGGCACAGTGTCCTAGAGACCCTGGATAGGGAAACTTTTATCTTAATCTGTACTGCAATCTTGAAAGTACTGCATAAATCCTCCAGGGTCTCTTTAACAGCCTGAGAAACTAGGGAGGGTTCCTTCAGAGTCTCTTTCCACCTCCATTATGCAGCTGGGGGCTATGCCCTCTCTTATCGGACTATCCCCTAAGCAGCATTTCATCACCCCATCTCTCAAGGTCAATAAAATAAATAAATAAGCGGGTGTTCCCCGTTTCAAGCCGTCAATGACCCTCTTACTAAGCTGGAGGTCTCTCGGCAATTTTCCCTGTTGAGTTTGGCCCTTCCTGCCAAGGAAATCCTCAGCTCGGGTCTGGTAACTCTGGAAGTGATGGTCCCAAGTGACCCTTGTTTTGAAAAGTAGGACAACCCGGCCACCCGAGCGGGGAAGAACCTTGAGTGGAGGCCATCCAGCCTAATCTACACAAAAGCAAACAGGAAACCCGGAACTATAATTCAAGGCAGATGTTCTCCCCTGCATGGAGAGACTATAGATCAGAATTTAACTTCTTCTCTGGCTTGGCTGTCTGTTCTCCAGACAGATGGGGGAAATTCAAGGATCCAGTTCGGGAGAATCAGCTGAGCAGAAAGCCGTTTGATCCACCACCGAAGCTGGGCAAATCCTTTCTATTTTAGGGCTCTTAGACTTGCACAGATACCTGATCAGTGGTGACAGGAGAGGAGGGGAGAAGAGAGGGCCAAGCTTTCCAGCTTTTTTGGGGGGTTGCTTTGGGTCGTTTCGGGGTGAAGGCACCGGGGAAGTGCTCGCGTTTTCTTAAAACAAACCCGCGTGTGAAAAGAAGGAATCCCTCTGCTGAAAAAGCGCAAGGGGCTGCCAGATTCTGGCCATGCAAAGGTGGGGGTTTTGGAAGAACGTAAAATTGGGGTGCGGGAACCAGATGCACAAGCTGAGGGTCATACGGCGTACATCCCCTTCTCAGCGTTGACTGTTTTCTTTTCTGCTTTTTATCAGTTGGCTTTTGATCTCATTCCTGATGAGTATCATGCGTGTTTCTGTGTGTGTGTGTGTGTGTGTGTGTGCGTTGAAATCCTCTTATTCGGAACCCTCCTATAAATATTTATAAGGCCTATCAGTTCTTTAAACAAAAGTCCTGCAACACCCTCAATGTACGGAGGGGACGATGATGCGTGGCTCATCCAGAGACATCCGTGGTTGATGAGGCTGAATTAATCCCAGACTGCCTTTGGGTAGAGCTGAACAAGCTTCGCTCTGATGGCATTTTCCATAAAGGGAAGGATAATAAGAAGGGCCCAATTTCCCCAATGGGAGAGATGTTCCGCTGGGCCAGATGGAGAAGGACTGTCAAGTTTGGCTTTCTGTTCCCAGAGTGGCTGCTAGGTATTTTATTTGTTTATCTGTGGGGTTCTTGGTGCTCTCTGAACTTGGTGGCTTTCTTGCAGACATTTCATTACCACACTAGGTAACATCATCAGTGCTAGAATGGCATCTGGTTTGCAGAATAGGAGAGGAGGAGGAGGAGGAGGAGGAGGAGGAGGAGGAGGAGGAGAAGGAGAACTGTGGGGTCCTTGGTGCTCTCTGAGCTTAGTGGTTTTCTTGTAGATGTTTCATTACCTAACTAGGTAACATCATCAGTGCAAGAAGGGAGTGGAGTTTGAGGAGGAGGAGGACGACGACTGTGGAGTCCTTGGTGCTCTCTGAGCGTGGTGGTTTTCTTGCAGATGTTTCATTACCTAACTAGGTAACATTATCAGTGCAAGAAGGGAATGGGGTTTGAGGAGGAGGACTGTGGAGTCCTTGGTGCTCTCTGAGCGTGGTGGTTTTCTTGCAGACATTTCATTACCCTAACTAGGGAACATCATGAGTGCTAGAAGGGAGTGGTGTTTGTGGGAGAGGAGGAGGAGGAGGAGGAGGAGAACTGTGGGGTCCTTGGTCCTCTCTGAGCTTGGTGGCTTTCTTGCAGACATTTCATTACCACACTAAGTAACATCATCAGCTGTAGACGGGAGTGGGGTTTGCTCTTTGTTCTTATCCTTTCTAGCACTGATGATGTTGGTTAGTTTGCTAATGAAACATCTGCAAGAACACAGCCACGTTCAGAGAGCATCAAGGACCCCGCGGTCCTTCCCCTCCCCTGACAACAAAGGAATTAAAATGGAACAGGATCCAATCTGGGTTGGTCACCGGCCCCAGAGGTTTTGTCCTCCAAGCTTTCAGATTCCTGCTGGAAGCCATCTTCAGGGAACTTCTCTCTAGCAGAGTGTGTGCTGTTCTGCGTGTGGTATTAATTTATACACAGGACAGCACAACAACACTCTGCTAGAGAGAGGTTCCCTGTAGATGGGCTCCAGCATGAGTCCAAAAACTTGGAAAAGTAAAGCTCTGGTTCCGGTGATCGGCCCAGATTGGATCCTGCAATATTATCCTGGGACAGGTAATATTCCCCTTCACTCGTAAAATGGGACAAAACTCACTTCAAAAAGGTCTCATTTAGCAACAGAAATTTGTTTGGCTGTTAGTTGTTGGTTAGTTAGTTAGTTTAGTGACAGATTTTATCTTCCTGGGCTCCAAGATCACCACAGATGGGGGATTACAGCCAAGAAATTAAAAGACGCTTGCTCCTGGGGAGCAAAACTATGGCAACTCTAGACAGCATACTAAAAAGCAGAGACGTCACGCTGCCAACAAAAGTGCGCATAGTCAAGGCCATGGTTTTCCCAGTTGCAATGTATGGCTGTGAAAGCTGGATCATAAGAAAGGCTGAGCGCCAAAGAATTGAGGCCTTTGAACTCTGGTGCTGGAGAAGACTCCTGCGAGTCCCCTGGACTGCAAGGCGATCCAACCGGTCAGTCCTAGAGGAGATCAACCCCGACTGCTCTTTAGAAGGCCAGATCCTGAAGTTGAAACTCAAGTCCTTTGGCCACCTAATGAGAAGGAAGGACTCCCTGGAGAAGAGCCTAATGCTGGGAAAGGTGGAGGGCAAGAGAAGAAGGGGACGACAGAGAAGGAGGTGGCTGGATTGGAGTCACTGAAGCAGTAGGCGTGAGCTTAAATGGACTCCAGAAGATGGTAGAGGACAGGAAGGCCTGGAGGAACATTGTCCATGGGGTCGCGATGAGTCGGACACGAGTTCGCAACTAACAACAATAATTAGTTAGTTAGTTAGTTAGTTAGTTAGTTAGTTAGTTAGTTAGTTAGTTAGTTAGTTAGTTAGTTAGTTAGTTAGTTAGTTAGTCCTTTTGTTCATCCTTGGCTCTAGACTCTCGCTTCCCATAGCCCCATTCCAAAAAATGAGCCTTTCAGATCTTCTGTGTCCTTCCTCCCTTTTGTCTCCGGCATGCAAACATCTCAGCTTTTCTCGGTGACTTTTCTCCATTAATGTGAGCTTTTTACCATTTACTGCTTTTATATGCCAAGCTATAATTTTCCTACCCCGTGCTGGTCAGGAGAGGTTGAATTCTGATGCTTATCTGAGGTTTACTCAATTTAGGGTTTCAAATAACACTTTTTAGTAAATCGGAGAAGGCTTTAGAGACCACGTTACCAGCCACTTGTGTACTTATGCCCAGGCAACATTTTCTGCTAACGATATTTCCTTGCAAGCTGCTCAATGACCTGCAATCCCATCAGTTAGGAGGTACGTGCAATTTATTGCCACGCATTCTCAGGCACCAGTTCCATAAACGGTGTGCACAGAGGCACTTGCTTTGGTGGAGGGATTTCTCGTCTTGTACAAGCGGTCCTCAACTTACAACGGTTTGTTTAGTGACCGTTCGAAGTTAGAACGTCACTGAAAAAAGTAAGTTAAGAAAGCTGATCTCACATTGAGGGCCTCAAACATCCTCCAAGAAGGAGAAGAGAAAGGATTAAGGGGAATCGTTTTAAAGAATTAAGCAAGAGCAGGAGCATCAAATACTCCTCGATTTACAACAGTCCATTTAGGGACCGTTTGAAGTTACAGCACTGAAAGACGCATCTTATGACCAGTTTTCATACTTATAACCATTTGCCGCATCCCTGTGGTCACGTGATCAAAATTCAGATGACTGGCAACCGACTCTTCAAATGAGGCAAGGCTCACTTAACAACTGTCTCGCTTAGCAACATAAATTTTAGGCTCAGTTTTGGTCATAAGCTGAGGACTACCTGAACATGGGGAAGGCGAAGAATACTACAGTTTTCTGCCCCAATCAGAAGAAACCTGGTCCAAACGTCTACGGAGATTCTCCGTCATCCAGGTCCTGGTTGTCCCAAAGTTGCTTTTTCAGGAGGCATCTGGACTTTCTTTATTTATCCTTGAAGACGTTTCGCTTCTCATCCAAGAAGCTTCTTCAGTTCTGACGGTCATAACTGAAGAAGCTTCTTGGATGAGAAGCGAAACGTCTTCAAAGAAAAACAAGAAAGTCCAGTTGCCTTCTGGACTGCCATCTGTCAGAAAGGGTGTAGGGTCTCCTACTTGGGTGTAGGGTTGGACTAGATGGCCTACAAGGTCCCTTCCAACTCCGTTATTCTAATTCTTTTGAACAAGCACCTCTGGGAAAACCTGATCCAACTATTTATCTGAGTTTCGATGCCCAGAATTGGATGCTCAGGGTTTCATTTAGCATTTAGGAATAATGGTTTTACTGATTACAAAAACCCACAGAGACATGGATGAAAGCTCTTGAGATAGAGGTCCGTGCTCACCTACAACCATGATGTTGAATTCAAACCCTGTCTTCATGGTCTTGATACGCATCTGATCCAGGACTGCCTCAATCCCCACGTAGCCAAACAGTCCACCGTCCGTGGTCTTGCGGGCTGGACCATCCTGAGGCCTTGGTTCTCCTGCTAGGTCGTCCTCCATGCTCAGCTGCTGAAGCTTGGGATGAATCTCTGCAAAGAGGAAGAGAAATGTATAGGCAACCGGTTCCTCCAAGCAACCTCCTTCTTTTCTTGCAGCCTTGTTGCACTTCTGCATTAAGTCTGGAGCAAGAACGAAAGCGAAAGAGAAAAGATATACTCTCCCTGGAGGCAGAAATGCAGCCTTGAAGGGACACAACCTCTATCTAAAGTTGGGTGCTGCAAGGGACGGTGGGGAGGCTGGGACAGGAATAGAAGAGAGAGGAGACCTAAACAGTCAAGAGACAGAAGGGGAAGCTATTGGCAGCTTAACTCAGCTCAGTAGGACCTTAGAGGTCTTCTAATCTAGTCCAACCCCCTGCTCAAGCCAGAGACCCTATACCATTTCAGACAAGTGGCTGTCTAGTCTCTTCTTTAAATCCTCCAGTGATGGAGCATCCACAACTTCTGAAGACAAGCTGTTCCATTGGTTAATTGTTCTCACGGTTAAGAAATTTCTCCTTAGTTCTAGGTTGCTTCTCTCCTTGATGAGTTTCCATCTGTTGCTTCTCGTCCTGCCTTCAGGTGCTTTGGAGAGTAGCTTGACTCCCTCTTCTTTTTGGCAACCCCTGAGATATTGGAAGACTGCTATCATATCACCCCTCGTCCTTCTCTTCATTAAACCAGACATACCCAGTTCCCAAAACTGTTCTTCATCTGTTTTAGCCTCCAGTCCCCTAATCAACTTTGTTGCTTTTTCTGCACTCTTTCCAGAATCTCAATATCTGAAGCATCTTCCTCAACATGAGCAGAATCCCCATTGTGCTGGTTTCTCATGCTGCATGCATCCAGGTCATGTTTGTCTCAGAAGGCCGTTAGGCCAGCAAAGAAAAAAGAAAAAAAAGAAGAGAGACAGAGAGAAAAGTGGAAGTGAATTTAGATGCACAGCAACATCTCTGACAAAGGTCAGACCTTAAAGAGAAGCTCAGCGGAAGAGGCTGGAGGGGTGCCTTCATTGGAGAAGAGAAGGGATGGGGGAAAGAGGATTGGCACCCAGCCCAGGAGTTGGGAAGCTTTGCATCGTGGGAGGGAAAGGGGTTAGTTACTTCCCCCACCTCACCAAATAAAAAGGGGGGAAAAGTCTCATCCTGGCTGGTAATAAGGGGGATTGTTCAAAAGACTGGGAAGTTGGATATAGCTCCATTAAAAGATCTTTCAGTTTAGAGGGTAGCCTGTGCTTAATTTCAAAGCTGAAAAGATTTAAAAATGCAATCAAACCAATGAGATTAACGGATCTCTTTGCCATTCTTGGTTTTTTTTCCCCAACTTCCCAGGCTAGAGAAATGTCCATGCATTCTTTTTGGGTGGTCTTCCATCCCAATATTGACCAGATCTGACCTTCTTAGTCAAGGCTGGCTAGATGCTGCTGCAAATAGCAACTCACAGGCCAGCAAAGCAGTTAAATATGGTGGTCTTGACCTTGCTGGAATTGGGTATGTCTAGTTTAATGAAGAGGAGGACGAGGGGAGACATGACAGCAGTCTTCCAATATCTCAGGGGCTGCCCCAAAGAAGAGGGAGTCAAGCTATTCCCCAAGGCGCCTGAAGGCAGGACAGGAAACAAATAGATGGAAACTGATCAAGGAGAGAAGCAACCTAGAACTAAGGAGAAACTTCCTGACAGTTAGAACAATTAACCAGTGGAACAACCTGCCTCCAGAAGCGGTGAATGCTCCAACACTGGAAGTTTTTAAGAAGGAACTGGACAGCCATTTGTCCGAAATGGTATAGAGTTTCCTGCCTGAGCAGGGGGTTGGACTTGATGACCTCCAAGGTCCCTTCCAACTTTATTATTATTATTATTATTATTATTATTATTATTATTATTATTATTATTATTATTATTATTATTATTATTATTATTATTATTATTATTACTACTACTACTACTACTACTACTACTATTATTATTATTATTATTATTATTATTATTATTATTATTTAGTGTGTAGTATGGGGTACCACTCTTCTAATTGCAATAGTTTTCCAAGATTACAAGAGCTTCATGCCATTATCTTCAGTAGAAGACCCAGGATGGACAAACCTAAAAATAAGTTTATGATCATCTTGGAACCAAATGGTGTCCCTTTGTGGTCTATGTCTATATACCCGGGACTTCTTTCCATTTTATTAATAAGAAGGAAGGGGGATTCAAATCTGAGCCATGGCACTGGAGAAAGTTGAGCCAAACCCTAATCTTCTGAGTTAGTCCTTCAATATTTATGACCGAGATGCAATGTTCCTCAATGTAGACAACTTGAAGATGGGTGGACTTCAACTCCCAGAATTCCCTGGCCAGCATCTTCACCTTGCCAAGGTTGATGAACTCTGGTGTAAAGGAACAAGGAGTTCCTGATCCCCCACCCACTGCAAAATCTGATATTTAAGAAGGGGAAAGATTCTCAGCCAGAGTTTGGTGACCCTCAAAAGCCAAAGAAGCCAGAAGCCTTGAATCTAACATCTCTCTTTGCTTCTCTGGCCAAGCAGTTCTTACCCTTTCATTCTAGCCCCGTGGGGCAGCTGCTTGCAATTATTCAAGAAGGAGAAGGAGAAGACAGAAATTCTGCCTTTATCTCTTTTCCTGTCCACCCCCTTTCGAAACCCCGCGGGTGTGAGGATCAATCCATCTGCTCTTGGAACAGCGTGGGAGCAACTTCCTGTTGTTCTTCAGAGCATATGGCTCTGGCTACATCCCTCAACAGAAAAGACATTGGCCAGGATCAAGGACATCAGTCTCTCCTCTTCCTCCTTCCCACCCAATATTCCCAGCTGGGCCAGAGCCATGCAAGCAAAGATGAGCATCTGAAACTTGGTTGACTCTGGTCATGACGAAACCTTCTGTCAGCTTGTAGCCGAAGCTTTGAAGAACCTTCAAAGAGCTTTTGAGTTGGATCGGACCAGTGGTGGGATTCCGCCAGTTCACAACCAATTCGACAGAACCGCTAGCTAAATCCAGAAGTCCGTTCTAGGCCTCAGAGGCCCAGGCCTGCACCCAATAAGAGAGCCGGTTGATCAGGTATTTCAACCCCACCACTGGATTGGACCAGTCATGACCATCTACAGGCAGTCTTCAACTTACGACCGCAATGGCGTCCAAAATGTCCATTGCCAAGCGAGGCACTTGTTAAGTGAGTTTTGCCCCCTTTTACAACCTTTCTTGCCACATTTCACCGTCGTTAAGTGAAACATTGCAGTAATTCAGTTAGTAACACGGTTGTTAAGCGAAACGCTGCGGCCATTAAATTAGTAACGCAGTTACGCCTGACCACCGACTCACATTTAGGATAGCTGCAATGTTCCCGGGGTCACGTGATGCCCTTCTGCGACTTTCCGACAAGCAAAGTCAAGGAGGGGAAAGCCAGATTCACTTAACAACTGTGTGACTAATTTAACAACTTCAGTGATTCACTTAACAACTGTGGCAAGAAAAGTCATAAAATGGGGCAAAACTCATTTAACAAACCTCTCACCTAGCTACATAAATTTTGGGCTCAATTGTGGTCATAAGTTGAAGATATGAAGAGCTACAGATATTCACCACTATTGCAGGTTAGAGTCTTCTCCATCTTACCTATGTTCCCACATAGACTAGGCTAAAATGGGGTGATGTTTATAGTTCAGTTAAGTAGTAGGAAAATCAGCTATTACCTTAGCAGGCGGTGCAAATTAGGTGCCACTGACAGTAAGTTGTCACATGCTTTGTCCTTGCTTAACCCAAGCCAGGGTTTAACGTATTGTGTGAATCCAGTTCAATTTAAATCAGGAGGGTGATTTAGACTTGCACACCAGACTTTACATATGGAGAGAAAAGGTTGCAGTTTGGATACTCCTGGTTCAAATGTGAGAACATTACCTAAATTCATGCTTACATATTTGCACCTGCAAAGTTAACATGGATCTACCTTGCTCTCTTTCTTGGCAACATACACAGGCAAACTTATGTCTGGACATGCCACTCCAGATAGCACTACTCAAGAGTTAGATAATGAGCGTATCAGGAGAACAATTCTCAGTTCATCCTGTCCTACACAGTGGTTAGGACACCAATGTTACTTCTAAAGACCTTAGTTCTGAAATTACACGGAGAAAGATTTAGTACTGCAGCTAATTCAGAAAATAAGCATGTTTGACACATAAGTAACCACAGAAATAATTGAAAATATCAGGTAGGAAGTCTAGACTAGAGACAGCACTGTCTCCTTGATATATTAGGCTTAACCAGCTCACTTAAAAAACTAACAGCTGCATTCATACAACATCCTCCATTCAATGTTTTAACCTTGCTTAGATCAATCCATCAATTAACCGGTGGAATGGGTTGCTTTTAGAAGCTCTGGGTGCTCCATCACGAGGTTTTTAAGAAGAGGTTGGACAGCCATTTGACCAGGATGGTATAGGTAGGGTGTCCTGCTTGAACAGGGGGTTGGACTAGAAGACCTCCAAGGTCCCTTCCAACTCTGTCATTCTGTTAATTCCTCAGATTAGAACCATGCATGTCTGTACAAATGAACATGCCAATATTTGTATCCAAGGGGAATGGTTCTTTTTAAAATCCCAGACAAAGTCCACCCCAAAAAACATTTTGCCTCTGTCTGCACACTAAAATCTAGATTGATGGATGTCTGCTCTCTTGTTCCTTCTGTTTGCTACACAGTGGGTTGATTTCATTTCTAGACTTGGATCCAAGAGACCAGGAATTCTCCTCCGCCATGGATTCACTTTCTGGCTTTGTGCAGGTGACGGTCTCCTAGCCTTTGTCCCTGACGTGAGGCGAAAAAACAGCCAGCCGCCTTCATCACACAATGGCAAGGATGAAAAAAATAATAATAATGCAGCAATGAAACCTCTTCCAAAGATGCACATTTTCTGTATCTCTCTCTCTTTATATATATATATATACACATAAATGGATATTTGATGACAGCTAAATATCTACCTCTCCGTGAGGGCAACCATCAACTAGAAAGTCTGCAGAGATGCAGAAAATCACAGAGA